ATATCGATGCTCCACGATGTCCGATACGGAGAACTCTAAAATCGAATCCATCCGTTTCAGCACCCTCCGTTTGGGCTGTTTCATCTGGAGCTTGACTTCTGATGATTGGTTCGATCTTGGTTTGGGATGAGTTTGTGCATAGACGTGGTACGGTGGCAGAGATAACCGCTGCTCTGAGACAACAGAGGGCATCTATGGTGCCCAATGTTTCAGCGTGGCCTAATACATTACTGAGTGCTCTTTTGGTTGCTTTCGAAACAGTCAAAATCAAGATTGGTTACCAGAAACGCGTCAGTTTGCCCGACATTCACCCCACGTCTGTGCGCGAAAGTTACTGCTCTGCTGGAGCTCCGCACATCGGCGGCAGTGGGTTGGGATCCACAGGTTAGTGTACTTCAGTAATTCGCAACGAATTACCGAAAACGTCGGAGTTTTCCCACCGGGGAGAGGATTTTTTTTTTCTGAAACCAAGCCCCTCGGGGGGAAATTGACGCAGACCGGGGGGACCGCGTGTACTCATAGTCGTGCATGCCGTAGTCATGAGACCATTGACCTCGCATCCCTACAAAGCCGCGCCAAAGCCTGCAACTGTGGTCCGAAAGATCTGCAATTGTGTATCCAAGCCGTTCATATTTTTTTTGCACCGGTCACCGTCACTGACCTAATCTCCGGAAGTGCGGGTGTACGGCAGCTAAGTATGTGCAGCTCACGCCACTGTCTGTGGCTAGCTATAGCTACCTTGGACCCCGCAGCTCAGGGCACCGGGGTTCGTGGCGGCCCGTTTATAGACTGTGTGTCAAGAACGTTTGTTTGAATTCGGATTTATGGACGTTTTTGAGCCTAGAGATGACTTTTTTGCCAGGCCCAGTAACCGATCTGAAAGCACCAACGCGTGCGTCGCCGCTCCAGGATGTACGTCGTCGTCCCGCAATCGAGGATGGCTACTCTTGGGCCTTGCTCTCTCTCTATCTGTTTCGACCGACCTGAATCCCACCGCCTCGAGGAGTAACATTTGCTCTCGTTGTAGTCCACTGCACTAGCGCCTTTCGTCACCCCAAGCCGCTACCACCTCCAGGAAGAACCTCGCCTTTACCAGAACCCTTGTCCAACACTCTTGCAGCCTCGTAAAGCCTGAAACGCATTACTGGTTGGCGTGATGTTCCATTCTCTAAAATTAGACCCGGGTCTGTTTGGAAATAATAGTCCGAGAACAGATGAAGGCAGGACGTCATACCAAAACGTCTGAAATACCGCACCAGACCATCATACGGCCACCTACCACAACAACAATTGATCACCGCTGGTGAATCGATAAGGTCGTCATTACACATGCTATTCCCGCACATGACTTGGGTACCAAACCCGCCAGCTTTCTGCACCACACACACAGTATGTGATTAGGCTATGTTTGCCCCATGTGATATGAAAAACATACAGGGCGGGGTCGGAGATAACAAACGTCAAAATTGGGTAGGGCCTCAATTTCTATATTTGGCATAAGGACCAGACGAAGTCGGCCACTACATTAGGACGGATTCATGTTCCTTTGGGCTGTCGCATCCTGCTGGTTCCCCTACTATTTATTATTGTCGTATTTTTGGCGAAGAAAACAACACACTAAGCCATCATGCAGAATTTAATCTACAGATCGTTGTGGCGAACAGTGGGGTTGTGGCAGTACAGCAGTAGAGCAGCAGTGGGGAGCGCAGCCAGCGGCGGCGCTGGGGCGCGGGGGGCGCCGCGAAAGTAACCGCTCTCCCCCCTACCACAAAACTACATCAGCTAGACGGAGGAATGGGAGCATGGCAGCAGTAGCAGTGGGACGTTCCTAGTGGACAGGTTCCCCCAGCTACTCCTTGTTTCTTAGGTCTTGGGGATGCCGAATGATCACTTTTCATAGTGGAACGTTTCTCATGTTGTGGCGGAGCATTAGCTTTGTTTCTTATCCCATTTATTTTTTTTCCGTGGACGGTTGAGCCTATTTTTCATAACACAAGTTTTCTTAGCTGCGGGCCCGTTCTGTGTGAAACCTGTGTATGTTTGCCTGAGATGATGTGAATGAAGGACATTGGTGGTCGGGGTGTGTGTTTGCCCGAGGAAATCCGGAGAACATCAAGTGATCTGAGTAAGTTCGCCCCAGGTGATCTGAACGGCTTAGGTGATCGGAGGCCTGAAGGACATTGGTGATCGGGGTATGTTGGTTCCATGGAAATCGGAAGGGCATAGGTGAGCTGTCTACTTAGCTCATGAACTTTCCTATAGGTGGAAAACTTTGACCGATACTGTACCGACTGTAGAGCAGAGAGTGCTCCATACAATTCATCCAGGCTGCAGGCTCGTCATTCCACGACAGTGTGTCTTCTACACCACCAGACGTTTCCTGAAGAACATGATCTTCAAACCACACGCAGTGTGCTTCAGGATTTCCCCCAGGCCCGGATTGGTTGTTGTTGCACTCTCGATGCGACTGGGCTTCTCAATACCTACAGGGCTTCGGAGCTATCAGCACCCATGGCACGGAGGTCCAAACCAACAGCCAGGCCTAAGCCTGCCAAAAATATGTTCGTGGTGCCCGGTACAATTTGTCCTGCCTTGATCTTGTCTTGGAAGTGCGGCCGTTGGAATCCTCCGTGATAGCGACGGTTATATATGTTTAGGGTAGGCGAGGGTTTTTGATCCGGATGGCCGGGTTTTCCCTTGCACCGTTACTGTTTAGAGTCCCTAGGTCTGATCAGGGGTAACCATGCCCCACGGATGGTTTGCCACTTGCGTGAAAAACCAGGGAGGGTGTTCGTGTGTTTGGATACGGACAGGTATTGATCGACCGCAGTAACGGATATATTCGCAGATAGGAACGTAGAGTCTGACATACTATTTTGGGGTTCTTGTGTTTGTGACCCCTGCTTCTCTGTTTTCCGGAAGCACTCTTCTTCTTCTCTTCTCTTGCTTCTGCGTTTCTAATACAAGCGATATTCAGTCTCTCCCTTCCAAGTCGCGGACATATACAACA